ATATATATATATATATAGCAGTGTTGATGTCAATGTTACAGTTACTGTCTTAAAGGCATGTTTGATTTTTGTCTTTCTTTGCTCTGCGACGATGTGGAATTGGAAATATCTCCATTTGTCTGTGCATGATAACTTGAAAAATAAGTGGAACACCGACCTTGATTTTTTTTTGAGGTTACATCAATGTGTGAAAAAGTTCCTTTTCAAAAGATCGGTTGCCGTATTTTAGATTCCATATATTTCTGTCCATATTGTGAGCTGCATAACTTGAAAAATAAGCAATGGGTTGGCTTCCATTCTGGTGTTTGGCTGCATCTGGGTGTAAAAAAAAAAGCTCACTATCGAAGATTAGTCATGTCAAAATCCAAGATGGCCACCACTATGTGTGTGTGTGGGTATTTGTATGTGTGTGTGCATGCGTGTGTATACACGTGCGTGTGTGTGTTTTTCTCCTTCTCTCTCATTTGAGAGAACTGCTTTCTAGTTTTGTATTTTGAGCATAAAGTTTCCAACAATGATTGATTAATATTATTGTATAGGGGCCAAGGCCACCACTGGCCACCCCCTGGCTCCGCCATTGCTCCTGGTGTTATATAAAATTGCCCCCTCCGTCTCCAGGATCTATTACTTTGTGCTGTCTGGGATAAGCCAAACATAAATAAATACATAAATAAACTACCTCTGTTATACACAGTTTAACTCCTGTCCACTCTAAAATGTTGTACCGAAAACATGAAGGTTTAAAAGCATTCTCTGTTCAGCTCCAGTCCATACTGGACACAATCATCTCAAAAACTAGAAACATTCACTGTTCAAATCCCTCAGCGACACTGGGCATCAGCGTATCGCTTGTTAAAAGAAGAATTTTATCTGCTCTGTCACCTGGGCTCTACACTGGCGGCTGTGATGATTTTATTTCCCTCCGTTTATATTTTATCACCGTCAGCAGCACAAGACAAACTTTACATATCAGTCTTCATCCATCGAAGCTTTGTAAATGTTGATTTATAATTTCCTCTTCAAAATGACTGCAGTCCCTTTGAGCGCTTGCATATTGTGACGGACCAACCACACTTAGTGGTTAGTCATGTGGCGTCTACCTGTGGATTTAGTCTCGAGGACCAAACACCAAGTTTCTCTGTGTGATAGTGACAATAACAGCAGAGTGTTTTCTTTAGATGGAAGACTCCTGCAGTGGTTACATTACAGCTGTTGGCACATGCACTGCAGTTTCCACAGTAACAACCACCGCAGCCATTTGTCACTGCCACCTCTTTGCCCTGTTAAAATTGGATGCTTATGCTTATAGAAACGCCGGCATATGTGTCAAACGTGAATTTCCTACATCCTTGACAGACCAGATGCCTTAGTATAACAATAATCAATCAGTCGTCATCTATAATGGATTAACTGTGACGCCAAGCTTACCACTACTATTCCCGATTGTTGATTCTTTTCTTTTGCGCTATGTTGTCTGACGATGGTGAGTTGATGTCACAGGCACAATACATAGAGGAAAGCATCACCTTCGTGGCTGCCCCAGTGTTTGACAACTTAATTCTGTGGCACACTCCACAGCACAGGGAAATTGCACCCAGCTCAGCTGGAATATGGAAAAAAAAAATGTTTACATTGTCATCTCTGATTACCATTCATCTAAATTCAGACAGGGACCTTTGTGAGCGAGTACTTTATGCTTTTTTCTGGAACAAAAAAATAGAAAGGCAAAAACAGAAATTAAGAGAGAGATGAGAATGTTAGATTAGAGGAGATAATGCAAATATGATTAAACCCAGCGGGTCTGAGCACACTGCTGTCTTCCAATAGATCACCTAGAGAGATACACAGCAACACACTCCACAGGAGGGACGCTCAGCAGGAAAACCGAGAGACGTTGCAGAATTAGACTGTAAAAGAGCAATGATGGGAATTTATCAGAGAAATTGAAAGATTGCTGTGTTTGTGGGTGAAGCAGAGAGAGGCAGTGAGTGCAGGGGGTCATTACATTGTGAAATTGCATCTGCTGCATGAATACGAGACGTACAATCATCTGTTGCATGTCAACACTTAGCATTCATAAAGCCAGAGCCTAAACACGTGTTTCTTTGTCTTCTAGTATCCAGCAGATAAGGCCAACTTATGCTGTCTGTAAAATCGCTGCAACACATTTAAAGTCCTACTTTTTGTCTGCCATAAAATATGGATCTGCTTTGAAAATGGTTCTCTTTGTTCTCCTTTGTGGAAACGGAAACTCAAAATGAAACATTTCTATATACATTACAAAGCCACATCAAAGGAGAAACTTGAATGTCCGCCCCTTACGGTTAGGAGAACTGATAGCTCTGGTGTTCTCTGTTTTCTTTATGTCTGCATTTGTGTATGTGTGTGCCTGTGTGTGCATGCATGTGTGTGTGAGACACAACCTGCTTTGGGTCCACTTATCCCCTTAGGGATAGGGTCACTGCAAATCAATATAAAATTCCTCTGAGTGATTTCTCCTGTGATGAAATATTTCTTTTCTGAGTGAACTGGTTTCTTCCAGGATGACAGTGCCCCCATTCACGGGTCATGAGGGGTCACTGAAACCTTTGATGACTATGGAAATGACGTGTCATCTCGTCTTTTGCAGCCACAGACTGTCAGCCTTGTTGGTCACCTATGGGAGATACTCAGCTTCTGTTAGACAGCAACCCTCCACCATCATCATCATCAAAACATGAAAAAACTTCTTTTTTCATCACCAGTATGAATATTTTTACTTCACCTGCATTCGTTCCTGCAGTAAAGTAAAGACAGATGGTGCCTTATATCAAAGCAAGCAATTAAATGTTAAATAAATCTGCACATTTATTTAAAAAAAAAAAAAAGCTCTGGAGTGGACAGCAGACCAAATTACACAACTTTTTTTTTTCTGTTCAAGTATTTTTCAGCCTTTCAGTTAATAAACTTATTCCATGTCTCATCTCTTAGCTGTTTGAAGTAGGAGCTCAAATATTTTCTTGCTTGGTTAAATAAAATAGTTATCCTAAAATAAAGGAAAAAGCAGCATTTCTTAAGGGAATGCATATCATTTGCCATGTTGCAAGAGTTTTTTACATAATGTCTCGTGATTTGATGATGATTGGAATATGTGTTGGGGATGACTCGGCTACTAAATGTCAACTCAATATCTATAAAATGACCGTTTATGTACATAATAATTTTAGTGTTGAGTTTGGTGAGTTGGGATGGTCATTTGGATCAGGTTGACTCCAAACGTTTATGATTACTTTCTAAAAGTTCTGTTATAACCTGTCCACTGGTTCACCACGCACTGGCAATTGCATAATCGCCCGCCTTTTATAGCCACAAGTGATTAAAAAGCAATTTACAGATTAGAAACAAAAGCTGTTTACCTGCTGCATGTCATACGTACTTCATTTAATTTCCTTTATTTATACAAGTTAGTCATGTTGACACAATTGTCTTATTTACAAGAGAGACCTGGTATAATAAAATAAAACATCACTCAAATACATTAGTATAAAATATAGCCTACATGTCAATATAAACATATCAAAACATGTTACTTGTCACAAAGTATGAAACCAAACATAAAATGGTTATCCTAAACTGTAACAAATGGTGCAGTTTGTAGGGAATAAAAAAAGTATTTTTACAAATATATTTAATACAATTCTGAAATGTTGTCCTCACTCAATGCAAACAAAACTTCCCTGAATCTGTCAAAATCCATGTGAAAGCTTGACTGACATACATTAGGCTGTACTTTGTGAAAGTAAACTAATATGATGAAATCAGACAAGCATACGATCTCAGAGAAGATGTATAGGTGGAAATATAAGATTCAACTACAGAAGAAAAAAATAGAAGGAAAACAGCTGTGAAAAATAAATACTGAAGATCAAGCAGGGCGATGGAGTGCCATAAAGACAGCCTGGCATATAAACGCACACAGATTTTAATAAATGTGTGGTAGATTAATAATGTAAACCCTTTTTTAGTCACTTTGGCTAATTTCACAAGGAAACAAATGCCTAGCTGACGTGGACCTTTAAACAAGGTCCTGACTTCAGTGTTAGGTTTCCCAGTCTTTTTCCCTCAAGTCCAGTGCTACAAGAGATGGACAATCTGGAGAAAGATGACTGTGTATGATGAGAGTAAGGTCACATTTGTCCCCAGATGTTCAGATGATCTTAATGAGCAAAGTCTCCAATTGATGAGTAAGAAAATTACCATTTCTAAACTCAGGAGAAAGTGAGCAATAACTTCATTAAATGTGTTTTTGTTGATCAGACAACAACAATTTCATTCACTAAACATGAAAGTATCACTGTTCAGAACTGGCAACATTTGAAATAACAAATCTTGTTTGAATAGAAAATTTGTTTTTGGGGAAAACATTTTTCACAGGCTGCTGTGCTTGTAATACTTTGATCACTGAATCAATGCAGATTTTAAACTAAGTGCTAGTTCAGCGTAATGAAACTACTGCAGCTGGAATAAACATAAAATTCTTACATTTACAAAATTTGAAATTTACAAAATTTACAAATGGCATCTTTTGATGAGGATAACATGAAAATACTTATGGGATTATTCTTAAAAAAAAATCATATTTACAATAAGATTCTCTACAACAGGGCTATTCAGGGCTATACTTCTACGCCGATGACTGTCAAATTTACTTCCCACTAAGACACAATGGTACATGCTCTATTCAACCTCTGCTCGACTGCCTAGCTGGCATCAGGGACTGGATGGCTTGAAATTTCTTAAGTTTCAATGAAAAGAAGTCTGAAGTCATGTTGTTCCCTCCCAACGACACAATCACAAACCACTGTATCGACCTCTCCACTCTAACCCTGTCAGAAAAAACAAAGAGTCACTAATCTGGGAGTGATAATGGACCCTTCCCTGAAACTTAACAATCATGTAAACATGATTTTTTTTTTTTTTTTTTGATGTAAACATGATTGTTAAATCGTGCTTCTTCCAACTGAGGTGGCTGTCTAAACTGAAGCCCATACTGTCCAAAAATAACCTGGAGACAGTAATACATGCATTCATTACATCTAGGCTTGATTACTGCAATTCACTCCTGTTTGGTATCAGTCAGACCTCCATAGCACAACTACAACTTTTCCAGAATGCAGCAGCCCGATTTTTAACCGTTACATGCAAAAGAGAGCACATTACACCAGTTTTGGC